CCCGCAGTGGGCTGGGCCCTCCACATCACTCAACAATCAAGAAAATGCCCCACAGACAAAGCCACAGGCCAGTCCAATGGAGGCAATTCCCCAATTGAGGCTCCCTCAACCCAGGTGTGTCAAGTTGACACTAAAGCTATCCAGCACAGGATCCCACCTAATATAAGGTCTATTCAAGGTACCCTTGGACCTAGGGAGGCCTGTGGCCACAGTGCAAATAGCATGTGTGTCTTCCAAGTTCCAATGCTGAAACAAAGCCGCTTCTTTCTGGCTCTTTGTGGCTTAAGACACATGTCTTGGGTTCCAGAGCCATCACAAAAGGAGTCTGGCTGACCTGAAGCTTCCCTCCTAGAGGGACCCCATGGAGGCTCTCCACAGAGATAGAGAGCAATCAATGCTGAGGGAGCTCAATGAGAGACACAGGCACAAGTACGTGTTCAGCAACTCCAGTCTGTGAGCCACAGTGACAAGAACGGGAATGAGAGGAGTTGTCTCTGCCAAACCCTGTCAAGATTGTACATTCTTGGACTAAATATTGTCTTGAGCCTCTACCAGGTGTGTCCCACCTGCAGCCCATGAGCTACACGCATCCCAGGATAGCGATGAATGTGGCCCAAGACAAAATCATAAACTTACTTGAAAAAAAATATGACATTTTTGGCAATATATATTTTTATTTAAATCAGTTTTATTTAAGAATTTCCAACAAAACCAACTCTTTTTTAAATTTTTATTGAGTTTTTGTACATTTCATGCAACAGTTCTTAATCAAATTTAGACCCATCCCCCCATCCATGTCACCCAGCCACCCACTGAACCTCATGTGTTCTGCCATACATGTTAAGGTCCTGTCCAGTCAAGCATGTGTACCCAGATGTGCTTCAGTGCAAATTCATCCACTGGAGTCTATTCAGCCTATTTAGAGATTGTGAGTGGGGCATCCTCCCTCACCCAGTAGTAATCAGTCTCCAGTAGTTCCCATTCTAGGGCTGGTCTGCCACCCATTTCTCTCCCTCCACTCCGGGCCCTTGTCTGATTGAGTTGGCATGGGTCCTGTGCTCAATGCCACCATTGCCACAAGTTCACACATGCAAACTTTCAGTGTGAAAGCCTCTACTTCCCTGTGTTCATGAACCAGCCCTGGCTCTTACAGTCTTTCCACTCCCCTCTTCTGCAATGGTCCCTGAGCTGTGGGTGGGTGAGGTTTAACATAGGAGTTCTATCCAGGGACACACGCTCTTCGGTTTTCTATTCTTTAAAACCTGACCAGTTGTGGCCTTCTGTGTACCTCACACTCTGTTGTGTAAGGAAGCTTCACTGGCGAGAGTTGAGAGATGCACTAGTTTTCTCTCTACCCCTCGTTCCACTATGTTCCATGAGTCTTAGGTGTAAAGGTTCCACTATAGATGTGTCACCTAGGACTGGGCATCTCTTAGATGTATATTCTCTGTGACTGACAGATTATGGGATTCTGCAGCAACATCCATATGTTGCAAAAAAAAAAAAAGTTTCTTTAATGAGTGGTGTGCCGTATGCTTGTCTGTAAATATAAGGATCCACATTTAGCATATGGTATGAAATTTCATTTGTCTAGAGATATGACAGAGATAGGGTTTTCTCTACAATCTATATCCTCTCTAGCCATTTGTATTTGACTGTGTTTACAGTGCCACGCATGAGTTCACTCCCATTGAGAGGGCTTTAAGTTAAATTAGATAGCTATTGACTACCCCCAGATAACAGTGCCACTACTGCACCGATAGAGATAGTTTGCTGTGCTGGTCATTATGGTTATTAGGCTTTAGGGCTGGGTTGAACTGCTGATTGATTTTTTTTCCCTTCACAGTCTGCATATTATCATCTAGTATTATGAAATTTAAACTTTGGGTAGAAGGCTTCCAGGTCAGTTCCTGCTCCGTTGCTCCAAGTCCTGTATCTGAAGTACATTTTGTAAAAATTTAGTTATGTTTTATGGGTATGAAAGTTTTATCTGTAAGAATGTACAAGCACCACGTGTGTGCAGTGCCTGTGGAGGGCAGAAGAGAACATCAGGTCCCTTGGAACTGGAGTTAACAGAATGTCCTGAGCCACCATGTGGGTGCTAGGAACCAAACATGCGTCCTCTGCAACAACAGCAAGTGCTCTTAACTGTTGAGTCATCTCTGCAGTCCCACCAATGTATTTTGTAACTCAATTGCATGGTTGTTGAGCATGAACTTTGTATATGGCAACACTGTTTCAACATCAAAAGGTTGATCACTGGGCTGGAGAGATAGCTCAGTCAGTAAAGTACTTTCCTCATAAGCATGAGGATCTGAATTTTGCTCCCAGCACCCACATAAAAAAAGCTTGGGATGGTGGCCCACACTCACAAACCCTGCACTGGGGAGGTAGAGACAGGCAAATCCCTGGGGCTTGCTGGCTAGTTAGTCATTCTAGCCTAATTTGTGATGGCAGGCTACCTGCCTCAAAGACAGTGGATTGTGTTCTGAAGGATGACACCCAAGGTTGTCCTCTAGCCTCCACACACACACATGAACACACACACATATGTACACACATGCACACACACATTTTTAAAAAGGTTGGACACACCTGCAAGGTTTGGGATGGTGTGTTAGTTCCTTTCACTGTGGCTAAGTTCCTGAGACAACTAAAAAGGAGCAAAGATTCACTTTGGCTCAGAGACCACAGTCCCTGGCAGCTTGGCCCTGCTGCCTTGGGACCTGTCGGCAATACATTATAACAGGGAGAGTGTAGTGGAGGAAACCACTCACCTCAAGGTGGCCTGGAAGTAAAAAGAGAGAGAGAGGGGAGGGACCGGGGTTCCATATTCCCTTCAAAGCCATGCCCTCAATGACCTAACTTCCTTCTCCTAAGACCTACCATCTGAAGGTCCCACCACCTCCCAATCATGCTATTATCTGGGGGTGGGGCAATCCATGAGCATTTGAGGGGCATTTAAAACCCAAATCTTAAGCGATGGCTTGATACAAAGCACAATATCTAAAGAGTTGACCTGGGGAGGGATGTCTCTATCCTCAGAAAAGAGTTTTGATTGGCAGGCCTCAATCGGAATCTTTGGAGAATCTTATGGAATGTTCTTCAATCTTCCTTGGAACATCTTACTTATGCCTGTGTGTATTGGTTACTTTTCTGTTGCTATGATAGAAGCACCATGACCAAGGGAACTTATAAAAGGAAAAGTTTATTTAGCTTACAGTTCCAAAGGAGCAGGAGTCCATCACGGCAGGGAAGCATGACGGCAGAAGGGGCTGGAGTAGGAGCAGAAGCTAAGCTCTCACACCTTCAAGCAGGCAGAGGAAGCAGAGTGGGATTGGAGATCCAGCAAGGCTTAAGAACTCTCTAAGCCCGCCCCAAGTGACATGCTTCCTCCAACATGGCCACACCTTCTAAGACCTCCCAAAACAGTGCCAACAACTGGGGACAAAATATCCGAATACTTGGAGTCTATAGGGGACATTCTCATTCAACTCACCACACTGTGTGTTTCACCATCTATGAACTCATTTAAAGCACAAACCACACCATTTTTGTCTTCCCTCCATAGCTAACACATGAGTACACAGCTAACACTAGAGTACAGTAGGCTGCTTGTCCAAAATGGCCTCCATGATTGCCCTTAATAGCCATGCCCTTTGTCATGTGATTTTGCAGAATCTTACCTCAGGAAGAGTTTGTTGCCCTTGCTCCTGAATCTGGATTAGGTTGTCACTTGCATTGGCCATCACTTTGACAGCCAGAGTGACTGCCCTGCCCTGATCCTTAGAGGCCTTCCATTTCTGCTCATTATCTTGGGGCACTGGCTCAAGCTAACTGGCTGGAGGATGAGAATCATATGACCCATTCATCTCTACCATCCCAACCAGCTTCCTGACAGTCCCAGAGGCAGAGCCATCTAGCTATCTTGCACTGATCACAGATACTTAAAAGAAAACAGAACTGCTCTGTCTAAATTGCCAACTACAAAATCATGAGCCAAATAAATGTTTTAAGACAATACATTGTGAACTGATTTACTGTAAATAAAAGTTAACAGATAGAAAAGTTAACCAAAAAGAACTTTTTGAAATGAATTCAACCTCCATTCCTGCTTTGGGTTTCTCATCCCTATGACAGAATGTCTGAAATAAACAACTTAAGGCCAGTCGTGGAGGCACAGGCCTCTAAATCCCAGATATTCAGCCGAAGCATGAGGATCACAAGTTCAAGCCTTGCCTGGGCTGCAGAGATGTGTGGATGGAGCTCAGTGGTAGAGTGTTTGCTTAGAGTGAGCAAGGCCCAAGGTCCGACCTTCAGTAAAACAATAATGAAAAGAAAACATAAAAGGAAGAGAGGTTTGCTTTCATTTGTGGTTTCAGAGGATCGATTCATCCTGGCAGGGAGCATACGGAAAAGCAAAGTGGCTCAGATTGTGACGAGAGAGAGAGAGAAACTTACGTAAGCTGTCTGTCTCCCTTGTCCTCTTTTAATCTGTCTATGCCCCAGTCTATAGGATGGTGCCACTCATTGTCGGGGAGAATCTCTCCCCGCTTAGAAATTCTCTCTGGGAATGAACTCACAACACCGCAACACACCTAGATGAGCATTACGAATTTTGCAGGCATTTCTCAGTCCAACCAAGTTCAGAACCAAAATTAACCATCACATTGCTTCATCCCAAGGTACAAACAGGTCAAAGTCCAAGTTGAATTTGCAGTAGGAGAGCTTTATTAGGAAGTCGGGATCAGAAAGGGAGTGGAGTCACCCCCAAGTCACACAGAAGAAGCAAGTTCCCCCTAGCCCTGAAGTTTCCCCAGAAGGAGAGACAGACAATAGATGTCCAGAGACACAGTGTGAAGTCAGTCCAGTTCCAAACAGGTACCTGCTCTTGTTGCCCACTAGTCTTAATGTCAGGTTACAGTGAGGAGGCTTCGTCTAGGCTCTGCTCACCTGGGGGATTCTCAGCTGGGGCTGGATGGGGAAAGCTGATGAGAGCTCTAGCAGTGCATCTGGTTACCTGTGGAGGGGCAGAAAGGAGACCACAGTAAGGAGGAAGGACTTTGAGTGAACACTTGGGAAAAGATGAGGAAACCAGGAACAAGAAGCCTAGAGCGCAACAAACTGGAGAATCCTGAGACGGAAGGACTGAGACCACCAACCTGTGGCCCCTCCAAATTCTGAATCCCTTCTGCAGCAACCCTGGCATGAAGAGCTCACGGGGCAGCCCCCTTCACCATCCCAAAGCCTTGTCAGTAAATTCCGCGACTACTGAGGCAAAGACAGCCCCAGCCTCACCCCTAGATGCACATCCATGCCACTCAGTGCCTCTGGGTGCACACAACACACCAGACACCTTGTACATAGATGGTTCCCTGAGCCTGGAAAACTTACATAAGCTACATTTGCAGTGCTGTTGCCCAGCTCTTTTACTGTAACTTCATATTAATTTTTGCTTCATTAAATTCAATGTATACATGAGGACATTTTTCCTGCTCTAGAGACTACCACCTCATGTCTTTCTTAAATGTAGATGGTGGCATTCATTATATACCTTCTTTAGCAGCTGTGCCATGCACGGGTTTTACTAAATGACCACTGACTAGAACCCCCAAATCTCTTCTCTACCTGATTCAGGTCTCCCATCCTCATGACTGAGAGGCACCAGGCCATGGAACTCCACAGAGCTGAGCACCTCACTTAGGACTCAATCATATGACCATGAGGAAATGACTTAATCTTTCTGAACCTCATCTCCTTTAAATAAAACCAATCTCATAGAATGTAGTGGGAAATGTAGGCCCTATTACACAATTTTCAACCCATTTCCTCTAGTAACTGAGACCTGTGCCATGTGCAGATTTGATCCTAACTTCATTCAGTGATCAATTCAGAACCAAGAATGGGTCTATAGCAGTTCACCAGAAACTTCGTTAAAATCCAGCTTTGTTCAGAACATGCATTCCCTCAGAGATACACAGAGAGGTAGTAGCCTAGCATGTGCAAGACCCTGAGTTCAATCCCCAGTGCTGAAAAAATAAAATAGAAAGGTCCCACCTTGACTCTTCCCCCAATCCCACCACCTAGAATTATCCCTTACCTTGTGAATCATCATAGTCAGCAGACTTTGAGGAGGAAGACTGGGCCTGAGATGACCTTCGACCTTCTCCTCCATAGCTGCCTCCACTTCCTCCTCCTGAACTACCTCCTTCACTGTAACTGCCTCCACTTCCTCCCTTGGAGCCACCTCCTCTACTATGACCACCTCCATTTCCACCCCTGGATCCACCCCCTCCACCATAGCTCCCTCCACTTTCTCCCTTGGACCCATTTCCCCCACCATAGCTACCTCCACTTCCTCCTCCAGAGCTACTTCCTCCACCATGGTTGCCTCCACTTCCCCTACCATAGCTGCTTCCACTTCCTCCATGGCTGCCTCCACTTCCTCCTAGTCTTCCTTTGCTACTTCCAAAGCCAATTTGTCCAGCTCCAGAAGATTCACTGAGAAAAAAGCACAGAGATAAATACATAACCAGTGTGGACCCAGACAGAGTCAAGACTCTTGAATCTTCCTACATGTTCCTTCCTGGAAGGCAGAAGACAGGAAGGCATCCCAGATGGAAGGGAAGAGTCTCCTTCTGGAGCAGACATTGTCCTCTTCTCTCTCACTGTTGCTGCTCTCCTTTCCTAAGTTCAAAAGCCGAGTCCTTCCCCCAAATGAGAGAGAGAGAGAGAGAGAGAGAGAGAGAGAGAGCTTAAGCCATCAAATCCTTGCATGTGAGAACTCTCCTCGCTGCTTGTATTAAGATCAGAAAGGGCCAGAAGCCTAAATACTCCTGTGGAATTTCCTAGAATCCTGGGAACCTACAAGTCTTCCTGGCCACCTTCAAGGAGGTTGTGGTAGGTCTCAATTTCCTTCTCCAGACTTGTCTTGATGCTGAGCAGAATGCTGTATTCCTGGTTCCGGCACTCAGTTTCTACCCGGACCTCAGCAAGCTGGGCCTCCAGTTCACTGATCTGTTCCTGGATCTGCTGCAGCTGGCCACAGTAGTGGTTCTTTGTGTCTTCCAAGGCCTTCTCCAGGGCTGGTTTCTAGAGCACAAGAGGAAGCTTTAGGAGGGATGCTTCACTCTCCTTCCTGTACCCAATTTGGGAGGAAGTCTTGAGCAGTGGGTGCCAACCATGCTAAGCTGAATCTGCAGCTTGATCTCCAATTCCCAAGCACTGTGCCAGAGCTGGGACACCTCCATCACGTTGCTCTCCATCTCTTGGCCATTATTTGTCATCTCCTGCTCAATCTGGGTCATCTGCAAACCAAAAGCTCAGTTAGGACTAGGCAAAGCCAAGAGCATCAGTGGGCAACACTTTACCTCACCCACCGAGATCTTTACCTTTAAAACCAAGGCTGAGGCCAAACCAAGGATAAGTCATTCTGAGGTTTGGGTCCCTCCAGCCAGGTTGTCATTCATGAAATTCCTTTTCTGAAAGGTTTCAAGCTCTTCACATTACACCAAATCGCCTTTCTAACTTTATTTCTTTCCAAACACTACCATGCTTTTATCTACCAGGCTCTAGGCCAAACTTTGGAGACCCAGGGAGGAAGGGAGCAGTCAAGGAACACAGTGTATTATGGACGACACTGTATCTCTTTAATAGTCTTAGATCACATAACATTTTTAAGTTTTTGTTTATTTTATGTGTATGAGTGTTATGCCTGCATGTATGTAAATGCACTCATGTCATGCAATGCCCATGGAGATCAGAAGAGGGCATTAGATATCTTGGAATTGGAGTTACAGATGGTTGTTAGCTGCCGTGTGGGTGCTGGGAACCAAATCTGGGTCCTCTACAAGAGTTCCTCTAAAGAGCAGCTTAAGGAGGGTTGCTTCTTAACCACTGAGCCATCTCTCCAGCCCCAGATCACATAGCATTATAGTAAGCTGCCCATGTTTTACTTTTGTTCGCATATGCTAATAAGCTATGAGCTTTTCAAGAGTGGCAATCTTATCTGGCTCATCTCTGAGACATTAGCTCTTCACCTAAAACCTGGTACCACTCCACAGCTGTGTCTGTGAGCAGTGAACGAAGAAGTATGTATGCCATTCCTTGGAAGATGGATGTAGCTGCATTGAGAAGTGGAATGGTGGAAGGATGAAGGGATGAGAGAAAGGAGAAGTATATGGGTAGAGGCCTGGAAAGTTGAACAGACAACCCACTCTGCTCAAAGTGTTTCTCGATGTCCTTGCAGCTCTTTGAAATGAGCTGCTCATACTCCTGGCGCATGTTGTTGAGCGTCTCCGTGAGATCTATGCTCGGAGCAACATTTATCTCCACACCAACATCTCTGTCATTCTGGCCCATCAGCTGGCTCATCTCCTGCCAGGGAAGAAGGGGGTATGGGAAGAGGGGGTGGGATCCTTTCCGACATTTATCAGTCCTCTCCCACAAGTCCCCTCAGAGTCCAAAAGAGGAACGCCATTGTGGAATCAAAGCCAAACTTCCACTGCTGACGATGCTGAGGAGGAGCTGGGAGTGTCCCTTCAAGAGTGAAGAAAAGGAGCCTCTCAGTCAATGCTCCCCAGAGACCCCTGCTGTCTCTGCCCTTCTGTCCCTCCCTGAACCCACTAAGCAGCCCACCTCCCAATGGTTCTTCCTGAGGGCATTCAGCTCGTCCTGCAAAGTATCACATTGCATCTCCAGGTCAGACTTCTCCATGTTCAAACTATCCAGCACTTTCTTCAGGCCATTGATGTTGGCATCTATCCCTTGTCGCAGGGTCTGCTCCATCTCAAACCTGCAGGCCAGCCATGGGTACAGAATGATGAAGAGGGTATCAGGTCCCACAGGGAATCTTCAGAGTTCTACAAATAGTGAAGGGCTGACTACAGTACAGACAGGAGGAAGGGGCAGGACTCACTTAATTCTGAAGTCATCCATTGTCATACGGGTGTTGTCTACATCCAGAAGAATTTTGTTGTTGCCCATTGTCTACAATCTAGAAAGGGACGAGACAGCATGTAAAAGCCATGCTTCCCTGCTATGGCCCACCGCTGGGGGAAGAGACCAGAGAAAGAAATAGGAGGGGAGAATTCCATCCAGGAAAATGTTCAGGAAGCAAGATGAGGTTCTAACAGCTGGTACATGGCTTGGAACTCATGGCCTTTACCACACATATTCAGTGTGGACTTCATTCATTCAGCGATATTTACAGATTTACTGAAAAGGATAATGTGTGGTTTAAGAATCAATGGCAAACTTCCTCAAGGGGCCCACCATCAACTACAAAGTCCAAAGTATACTAAAAAGAGTTCACAGAAAGGAGAGTTGGGTTTTGGCTGTGGGGAAACAGGAAAAACTTGGAGAAGGAGATGTCAATTTAACTAGGTCATGAAGAATGGCATAAATAGATGGAAGATGTCTACAGGTGAAGAAACAGCACATTTAGAAACCCAAAGTTGTAAAAGCAAAAGGAATGGATGAGAACAGTAAGGAACCCAACTGTGAGCTCCTGGGGAGGGCAGATACCAAGTATGGGACATCACTATGGCTGACCAGAGAAATACAGAGGGTAGTAAGGTTAGTGGATGCATAGATGGACAAATTGGTGGACATGCAGATGGATGGATGGATGGATGGATGGATGGATGGATGGATGGATGGGTTTCGTCCTCAGAACTGGAGGTTCTCTCCATCGCTTGAATAACCAGCATGTACATCTGAATCCAAAGAACCTGAGTTATGCCCCTCCCCCAAAGAGCCCAAGAGAAGTAGGAAAGGAAGGATAGGACCAACTTGAGACCAGGTCAAAAGGAGGCTCCAAAGCCAGTCCCAGCTTTGCTCATGCTAATCCAGGCTCCCTCCCTGCTCTGCCAAACTCTGAAAGTTGGGGATATAGAAATGAAATCCTAGAATACAAGCCAAAGCCCCAACCCCGAAGACCTTTAGGAACCAAATACAAGCTTGTTTCCGATGAAAATTTCGTTTCCAAAAGATGGATTCTGTGGCATGACCTAACTTGGAGCCTAGCTTCTTACCTTTGCAGAGAGTGGTTGGGAAGGGAGGGAGGGAGGGAGGGAGGGAGGAAGGGAGGGAGGAAGGAAGGAAACAAGGAAACAAGGAAACATCAAATTGAGTAGAGAGAGAGAGAGAGAGAGAGAGAGAGGAAATTTGATCCCTGCTCAATTGCTGTACTTTATCCAAGTAAGAGGCCAGTTGGTTATTGAGGCCCTGCATGATGGCCTACTCATTGTTGTTCAGAATGCCACCTTCACCACCTCCAGCACCACCACCAAAGCCACCCCCAGAGCCCCCAATCCTCCAAAGCCACCACCAAAGCCCCCAGACCCATCAAAACCTCCAGCACCATCACCGAAGCCTTTGGAGCCTCCCCGAAACATACTGCTGGAACCCCCTGCACTAATGCCCCCTCCAAACCCTCCACCATGGCTGGAGCCAAAATTGCCACCACCTCCACTGCCACAAGCCGGAGAGCCACCCCTACCAAAGCCACTGGAAGAGTTGAAGCGGCCTCCTCCTCCGCCACCCGGTGAGGAGCAACTGAAAGAAGACCGCCCGCTGCCCCCGCCGCCCCCGCCGCCCCCGCCACCCCCGCTGACCCTGCCGCCTCCACAGCTGCTGCAGCTCCAGAAAGACGGGATCTGTCTGCAACTCATGGTGTTGCCGGCCGTGCCCCCTTAGGGAGGGAAGCAGTCTCAGGAGTTTCTGGTTACTGAGCCATCCCCAGGGCTGCCTACTTATACCCCCTGCTGAAAGTGACACACCTGGGTGTGCGCTCGGCCTGTGCCAGCTTCCCCCCATAGACTCAGAGATGTTCTAGGATATTGGAGCAGCCTGGCAGCCCCAGGCTCTGCCGTCCCTTGGTGACTGCCCAGAGGCAGCCCAGCCTGTCTCTGTTGTGTGGGGTAATTTGATGATATTAGGCTGTCAAAGACACCATAAATCAGCCCTGTTGTCAACGGGGTGACCTATATCTTACAGTCTGATGTCTGGCTGACTTGACAGCAGACCTGAGGCTCAGTTCCCCTGACTGTCTAAGATTGAAGCTTCCCAAAGCAGACATCTCCCTCATGGTTACTGTCACTCTGCACCTCACCATGTTCCTACCTGGTGCCCACTGTGGACTGAGCTGGAACCTGGGTACAGAAATCACTGCAGAGGCTAGGGAAAGCATAGCTCCTGCCCACAGGGAGATGCCAGAATGAGGGAGCAGTGTGAGCAGGAAGTGAGCTCGTGCCCTGGTGGAGTTCCTATCCATTGGGAATCCCAGCTGTCACAGTTCTCCAGGCTGACAGGAGAGACAGGGCTCAGCTCTTTAGGGGAATCCCCTTTGCTGGGGAGATGGTGGTGGGGCCAAAAGATGGAGAGCGGTACATAGTACTCTCCCAGGGCTTCAGGACAGAGTGCAGCATTCGCACAGAGGACTGAGAGAAGAAAGCAAACTAAATACAGTGCTGCTACTGCTCACTGACCTTACAGCAGGAACACCATGCTCATCCTGGGGTGTGTGTGCATGTGTGTGTGTGTGTGTGTGTGTGTGTGTGTGTGTGTGGGTGGGTATGCGTGCACATGTGGCGGCCAGAGGCTGACATCAAGTGTCTTCCTCTGTCACTCTCCACCTTTTTTTTTTTTTTGAGACAGGGTCTCTCACTGAACCTGGAACTCACTGATTCAGCAAGATTAGCTAACTAGCAAGTCACAGGGATCCTCTCAAATGTGCCTCCCCAGCACTGGGATTCTAAGTACACACCGCCGTGCTTCAGCTAATCACATGGATGCTGAGGTTCAAATTAAGGTCCTCATGCTTACATGGCAAGCACTTTACCCACTGAGCTATCTCCCCAGTCCCTGTCCTGGTACAGAACCTGGCAGTGGGTATGGAATTGACCTTGGTTGAGTTACTGTCTGATGCTGAGCCCTGGGGATGGCTGGGTACCACGATGCGACTTACCCCTGCTTCTGGTGGATCCCCACATTTATTCTGTTCACCAAAGCCAAAAAGGAATAGTGAAGAAAGCTGTGGGATGTGGTGCTAGACCACCTGAGCACAGTCTAGACTCCATGCTCACTGGCTATGTGATAACTTAGTCACCTATGCCTTAACTCCCTCCCCTGTAAAGTGATTTGTTTGCCCATTTCCCAGAAAAACAGGCATAAGAAAGACTCAAGGAAGATCAAACTGCCTCTGGGCATTCAACTGCTTAAGACCTACACACCACTGCCTTCCCCTGCCCCAGACATCAATTTATTTTTCTTTCTTTCTTTTCTTCTTTTTTCTTTTTTCTTTTCTGTGTGTGTGTGTGTGTGTGTGTGTGTGTGTGTGTGTGTGTTTGGGTGTGTGTGTGTGTGTGTGTGTGTGTGTGTGTTTTTTTTTGAGGCGGGGTCTCCCTGCAGCTCCAGCTAGCCTGGAACTCACTATGCGGACCAAGCTGGCCTCAAACTCACAGAGATCCACCTGCCTCTGCCTCCCAAGTGCTAGGACTAAAGGCATGTGCCACCACGTACAGCCAGACATCAATTTCTAACAGCTCCCTTGCTCTGCCTGTGTCCACTGACCTCTTCTTGGTATTTTAAACTATTGTTGTTGTTGCCAGCTCCAGCTAGCCTGGAACTCACTATGCGGACCAAGCTGGCCTCAAACTCACAGAGATCCACCTGCCTCTGCCTCCCAAGTGCTAGGACTAAAGGCATGTGCCACCACGTACAGCCAGACATCAATTTCTAACAGCTCCCTTGCTCTGCCTGTGTCCACTGACCTCTTCTTGGTATTTTAAACTATTGTTGTTGTTGCTGTTGTGTATGTGCATGATGGGGGGCACACACACCACAGTACATGTGTAGACATCAAAGCATTACTTTGTGGAGTCGGTTCTCTTCTCTTACATCTATGTCGGTTCCAGGGATCAAACTCAGGTCTCCAGGTTTGTGCAGGAAGCATCGTTACCCACCAGGCTATTTCTCACTCCACTGCACACACACCCCTTGAAGCCCAGCTGGGATGGCCCTTCTAACCTTGTCCCTCCCCTGACTTTCCTATGCCTCAAGATAAGATCTGCCTTCCTGGCACTCAAGGCCAGTTCTCTTGCATCCCTGACACATCTCTCCCTGTTCACCAAACCACCTACCAAATCATATGATGCTCCTCTAACTCCCCTTGAACTCTTGCAGTTGCTTCCAACTGAAATGTCCCTCAATATCTTCTCTTTATTGAAACCTCCTACTTATCTTTTCTGGTTTGGGGGAGGGGTATTACTCTGTGAGTGTGTGTGTGTGTGTGTGTGTGTGTGTGTGTGTGTGTGACTGTGCATGTGTGGAGGGCAGAGAATAACTTAAAGATTAAGTAAGGATCAAACTCAGGTCTTCAGGTTTTGTGGCAAGCATCTTTACCCGTTGATCCATCTTACCGGCCCCATCCTCCACATCTTTGGCAACCTTTCTGCATGCCTCCTCTTCCATGAAGCTTTCCTGAGCTCCTTCTGGAGTCCCACTTTGTCTTGTTAAGAGCTCTCACCTGCATCTCTGCGGCCTCTCCCACCACCAACACCCACTCCCCAGGAAAGGCTCCTCCTTCCCCATCCCAGAAGGGGCTCCTTTAAAAGCCTGTACCTGCTCAACTCACATATGCCCAGTGCCCAGCCCCAGTGTCTGGTTAAAACAAGATCCCAACAGCATATGGGATGAAGGAATGGGAACCAGCCATTTTAGGTAAGTATAGAGAGCTAAGGAAGACCTGGAGATAAGAAAAGGTGCCAAGAGGGTCTGCAAAGGCCTGAATCCTTAGTGGTATGGCTGGGATACAAGGCTCTTCCTAGCAAAGGGTCTGGAAAAGGGCCTCTGGATGGTAGGTGTTGTAAAAGACAGCAGATGGAGACGCTTCTGAGTGATGCATGGAGATTATTTTCAGTAACATAGCACTGAGTCCAGTGTGGTGGTGCACACCTTCAATTCTATCACTCGGGAAACTGGAACAGGATGATCACAAGTAGGAGACTAGCCTAGGCAACATAGCAAGATCCTGTCTGGAAAAAAAGTACTGAATCACATGGTTCAGTGTCTTGATTCTCAAGGAAAGAAATCTCAATCGGCACTACAACTTCCTTAACAACCTCTATTCCTGTCAATTATCCCATTCAATAAAACCAAGCCCATCTTGGGCTTAAATCCTACAGGAAGCAACAGCAGTGAATTGGAATCTGCCTCATTTCCTATTAATGACGATTCATTCTGATCTTCCTTGTTCTCTCTAGTAATATGGGATTTCCTCTACAAATAGTTTGTTGAAATAAAGGTGAGCTAAATATTAATTAAATATTTAAATTGTTGGTACAAAATATGCCAGTTTAAAATAGATAAGTAAGCTGGCTGTGGTGGCGCACACCTTTAGTCCCAGCCCTTGGGAGGCAGAGGCAGGCAGATCTCTGTGAGTTTGAGGCCAGCCTGGTCTACATAGCAAGTTCCAGGCCAGCTGGGGATACAGGAAGACCCTGCCTCAAAAAGGCCGAAAAAAAAAAAATTAGGCAAGTCAGTAGGTAGAACAGAATATTTAACCTATTGTGTGCAAGTCTAACACCTGAGAAACTCTTAAACCAAGGCTAGTGGGAAGTCTCATTCCTGCCCTCATTTCTTGATGGTTCTAAACCTCTGTCCATGTTCCTGCCAAGCTCCCCTAGGAAGCCCAAGACCTGTCTGCGATGTGATCTGAAACCCAGGCCCACTCTGATGTTCTTTCTTCCAGTGTTCTCACACCCACGCCCAGGTCCCAGTGCTTGAGCTAGGAGAGGTTGGGTCAAGCTGGAGCTGGCAGTTTCAGGGAAAGCAAATCGCACAGCACTTCTGTGACCCTGTTCCCAGAAATTGCATTCTGGGTTTGGCTTGGCTTGGTTTGGTTTGGTTTGGTTTGGTTACAGGGTCTATGCAGCTCAGGCTATTCTTGAACTCATAATTCTCCTGCCTGAGACTGGAATTACAAGTGTCTGCTGGCTTTCCCCTGAATTACACTTATCTGAACCATCTTCTGCCTGGATCAAGAAATCCCTGAGTTCAAGGAAGTCCCAGGCCTGTCTCCCACATCTGAACAGTCCCTGCATGTCACCTCTGTCTTTGAGGTGCAGTCCACCCCACTGGGCCTCCAGAACAGCACAGTAGAGACAGCAGCAGCTTTCCAGTAAGGCAGGGCTGGGCTACCTGTCAGCCTCACCATACCTACCCTTGTGGTCTTGACCTTGGTTTCCCTGTGGGAAATCTTATATGCTGAGTTACCAGGGACATAATACAGTGTAGGAACAATGGAGGGGTCTCTAGGTTTAGGCCAAGCTACTGTCCGATGTGTCTGTGTCCTCCCCTTCTCCTCTCCTCCCCATCCACCCTTCTCCTCATCCACTTTCCTACCCATTCTCTCTCCTCCCCCCATTCACCTCCTCCCCACATCTACCCTCCTCCCCATCCCTTCTCCCCCTCAGTCTCTTTCACTTCTGTATCTGTCAGTCCTCTCCACATCTGGCTCTACTTTCAGCCCAAAGATGAGCCAGCTATGCCAGGTATGAGCGGTGTGCTGTCTGCTCCCTTCTCTCAGATCTCTGCCTGGCATGGGAAGGGTGGGACCAAGGGATGAGGATGCTGACAGGCCCCACTGAGTGAGGGGACTCTTTTCAGCTGTGGGATGTGGCTCATTTGTCTACCCTCTCAAGGCTCAGGGTCTGTCCCCTGAGCCCCACCTCTGACACCTCCTAGAAATGAACAGGGAATGGAGCCCATGTAGCTCAGGATACCCTGCCCCTGGTCCAAGTGAGAATGAATGCTGTCTCTATAGACCTTATCCAGGCTGCAGCTGACATGAGAAAATTGCTGGTATGGGCCCAGCACAGTGTAAGACATTATCCTTACTGTCAGGCACTAAGCATGCTTCTTCCCTTCCCTTGTACCATCTGGATGAGTTGGGTGGCAATGCTCTTGCTTTTTATTAGCCTATCCCTCTAGTCTATTGGGCCTCAGTCAAGTATCCCAAGTACAGTCCCAACATCGGAGCATGGATGGCATGAGGGAGAAGGGTTCTGTGGACCAGAGAGCCAGAGAGGAAACCATGAATGAGTTCTACCTACAAGGTGTCAGGAGAAGATGGGTCCTCTATTAGGAGTATGGAGTATTGAGAGGTGGCAAGGCCAGCCTGGCTGTGGCCATAGAAGCCTCCTGCTTGCCTGTATTCAGCTGCCCACCCCTACGTGGTCCCCACCACTCTGTGTCCTTGAGGCCAGGTGGACCCAGGGGGCCCTGAGTCATTGTGAGCTGGATGCTGGCCGAAGGAACATAGACATGACTCATAGCTCTTCTCCTGGCACGTGGGCCCGCCCCTCTGTGAGCCGTCTAGGCAAGTGTGCACTGAGGATTAGGGAACAGCTGGAGGTGCTTGCATTCATCTGTCAGCAATGATTCTTTCTCATACAATGGTCACCTGCCCCCACCCCACATAGCCAGACCCACCAGACCCAAAGTGGCCTGAGTCTAAGGCCAGCATCTCCCATTTATTTGTGGAAAGTGGCTTCCTCTCTCTGAACCCTCTTCCCAGCTCTGAGTTTATTGTTTACTGAATGTATCTACTGCATACACTATTGTCTACATTGTACTGAGAGCTGAGGATAATAAAATAATGAGAGAAGCCCAATCCGTAAAGTGCCCACCCTGCAAACATGACGGCCTGAGTTCAGATCCCCAGCACTCACATAAAAAGCCAAACGTGGCAGGGTACATCTGTAACCCCAGCTTTCAGAGCCAAAGATAAGAGGATCCCTGGGGCTTGCTGGTCAGTAAGTCTACACAAATGGATGAGACCTCAGAGGATCTGTCTCAAAAGCTAAGGTGGAGAGTGATGGAGGAAGAAACCCAACATCAACCTCTGGCCTCCCCATGCATACACATGTAAGTGCATACACACACACACACACACACACACACACACACACACACACCGATAATGAACAAGCCCTACATCCTTGAACAGCTACAGGATAAAGCAAATTCTCCCAGTAAATATAAAACTTAAAAGTAAGATGAATGCTACTGGTGGGAAAATGGGGAGCCCATAAAGCCTGTGGCATGGTCTGGGGGATGAGTCACAGTCCCCTGAGAGACATTTGAGTAAAGAGTAAGAGTGATCAAGGAAGAGGGATGGGGAAAATTCAACCTGAGAGAGAGATCAAATCAGACACAATGTCCTGAGGTAGGAAGGTGCAGTGACTGCAAGAACACACGTACATCCAATGTGACTAAAGGACAGTGAGTTGGATCAAGGAAAGGATGTTTGGAAGATAAAAATAGTTACACCTTCATGTGAGGCTCTGAAGAGTTAATATTAGAAAACATCTGGTGTAAGTCCAGCACACCACGGGGCATCATGGTCTCTAATGACACTAGGCATGCTTCCCTTTTGGGCCATCTAGATGACTTGTATGTCAACTTTCTTGCTTATTACTCCTCTATCGGACTCCAATTAAGATCAAAGACCTGTGTCAAGAAGGACACACAAAGGTTTGGGGCTTATGATCCCTCCCTCAAGGGACCTGAAGGCTGGATATGGCCACTTTCAGACTGTGTGATCTGGAGTAGGTCGGTCTCCCTAAGAAGGGGAGGATGGAGTGATGGTCTCCATGGTCCGCAGAGCACAGCCCCATTCTGCATTCAGAGAAGGTAGAGAAAGTCAGTTCTCCCAGAATACATCAGAGGGGCGTCGAGCCACAATCGTCATCTGACTGACCTCAGGATTCTAAGAGGCAACCTCTCTAGCTTCCACTAGACTGTGCTACCGAGTCACTTTTCTGGTATGTTTTAATGGTGGGGTCAGACAGAACCTAGGTCTTGAGTGGGTGCTGTAGCCTCAAGGCCCTGTGAACAAGAATGATGGTCATCAGTAGAGCTGTCTCTACCCTTCCCAGAGTATGATAATGAAGATCAGGAGAGGAGGGTATCCCCGTGAGACCCTGGGGGCAGATCCTATGCCTGCCCTTTTCCCCTGGGGCACTGGAGCACAGAGTGGGACCACCATGAAGCCCATTACTTGATTCCTCACCTCCAGTCCTGAGTTTTCTTCCAGCCAGGTGTCTTATGGCACCATCTTTACCCTCAAGCAAACCTGCCTGTCCCTGTATTCCTTCCAAACAGCAATAGCAATCATTCATGCAAGCACAGAGGGTGCTCCTCCCATCACATCTGAGTCCAAAGAACTTACATTTCCATATCCGTCTAATGTAGGCTCCTTTAGAGGAGAGGCTTAAATGTCACAGGTTGAGTGATAACTGGAAATTCAGAGGCAGTCCAAAGCATTTTGGGTTTCAGTTTCCACTACTCAGTGTAGCTGTGTTTTGCTTTCTGTCCTGCCCCCATGATCCCTCAAATGTGAACCATTCTCTATATTCGATGTCACTCTTGAGTAGAGAAAGTCCTATCACTCTAGGACCTGAAAACCATCCCTTCACAGTCTCTGAAACAGCTCTCTCCATCCTTTCCCATCTCTGAGATTCCCTCTTGTACCTTCAAACTCTAGTCCTTCAGCTCCAGGGTGCCTAACCTCTCAGAGTATCACCCCAACTCAACCTTGCCTGATGCCCCAGCTTAAGTAAAATGTCACCCACAGGCCTCCTTGTGCTTACCACAGGCTGTGTTTTCACACTGACTCTACAGAAAGAGGAGGCAGAGCAAACCTGCCCCATATACACCCCAGCCCAGGCCACTGAGCTCATCTGTATTGTAAATGGGGAGACATGGGGGGGGAGTGTCACCCACAGAATGGGTGTAGATAAGAAACACCAGCATCACCTCATTTCTTTTACTCTTGCAATATCACAGATAAAACTCTGACTACACAACCACTAAACTCATTGCCTCCATGAGATCATTTAATCCATCAGCATGGTATAGTGAAGGTGTTTATTCTCTGCTTTGTAAAGGAGGAATTCGCAAACTGGGCTCAGTATCCTGCCCAAACTCTCCAAGGCTAATTGAGGCAGGAACACAAAACTGAAGTACAAGATGTCTGATTCTCTATCCAAGGTTTTAGTCCCTTGTCCAAATTCTCTCTTCATTCCCATCCTCACTCTTAACTCCACCTAGAAGTTTCCTCCATACCGCCAAATGAACAAACTGTTGAAACTGATAAAGAACTAGTCAACTCTTTCCTAGCCTGAAGCACTAAGCTCCACCCACCCTTGGCATCTCTGCCACTCACCTGGATGATTACTGCTCCTCTTCCTACTCCTCATCCAGCCCCAAGAGACAGCAAAAGTCACTGTACCACTAAGAAGCAGCTCCTCAAGCCCTCACTATGTAGGTCTGGCCTCGAACTCACAATGATCCACCTCCCAAGTGCTGAGATTACATGTGCAAACTACCAGACTGAGGTCAACCCTGGCTCTTAAAGTGTAGTTATTCACTAGATTCCTATACCAACCCCCCAAAGCAGAAGTCATCATTATCCTTAATGTACAAGTGAGAAAAACTGAGGTCCAGATGCTCCAAGGTCCCAGAGCTAACGTAGAACACAGCCAGTATTAGACATCAGTTAGCTTATTCCAAAAACCTCCAAAAATGTCCTTATCATGCATGCTAGCCCAGAATTGCTAACACAGCTGTGCCTTGAGCCTGCAGACCCTGCTCAAGCTTAGGAGGCTCCTGTGTGGACACCAGGCACCGTGCTAGAGGACGTCTTACAGATGTTCTTCCAGTGAACATTCACAGGCCCAAGAGGTCATACTAGCATTATTCCTGTTTTATAGATATAGAATCTGAGACTTGGAAATGGCCATCATCTTTCTCTGGGTAGACACGATTCTAGAAAGTTCTAGATCAGGGAGATAAGACTGCCAGCAGAGCATGAGTTCTTACATTTAGGGAACTTGTGTATCCCACACAGTTGCATGTAGATATGTGTACTTATTTGGAGATAGGGTATAGATAAGGTATAGGAAGAACATAACTTCCAATATAGTCTCAAAGGATCACAAAAATATTAAGAATCCTTAACCTGGAGTTTAGAGAGATGGTTCAACAGTTAAGAGCACTGGCTCTTGCAGAAGACCTGGGTTCAGTTCCCAGCACCCACATGGTGGCTAATAACCATCTATAACTCCAGTTCCAAGGGATCCAGTGCCTTCTTCTGGGCTCCTCAGGCACTACACAACATGGGCACACTTACATACACAGAGGCATAACACTCATACACATAAAATAAAAATAAACAAATCAAAAACAATTTTTTAAAATTGGCTCAGAATATAAAAGTGCTTGCCGCACAAGCTGATGACCTGAGTTGATCTCTGGAACCCACCCACAGTGAAAGAAGAGAACCAACTCCCCAGAGTTGTCCTATGACCTCCACATGTTCACCATGACATATACATGCCTGCATCACACACACACACGCACGCGTGCAATAATAATAAATAAATGTTTTTGGTCTTTTTGAGACAGGGTCTCCCTGTAGCCCCAGCTGTCCTGGAACTCACTATGTAGACGAGGCTGGCCTTGAACTCACAGAGATCTGCCTGCCTCTGCCTCCTGAGTGCTGGGATTAAAGACGTGCATCACCACACCTGGCATAAATAAATTTTTTAAGTGAATCCTTCACCTAGCATACTGCCTGGCACCTAAAGGTACTCCATATCTGGTGAATATGTGAACAAATGAATGAATGAGGGAATGTGCCTCTGCACTCTAGGAGATCCCACGCATGACCTGTACACACAGCAATCTGGATCTTCTGAGATGGGACCTGAGCCCAGACCGCCCCCGGGCCCTTTCTCCCAGTCCCAGAGGCCACAGCCAGGTGCTCTGACAAATGCCAAAACAATGCTACCCACCTTCTTCCCACCCCCACTCCCGATAATGACCAGGCAGAGGGCAGTGATTGTGCAACTCAGATAAAGAAGCTTTATTGAATGCCAGGAGGGACAAGGGTCAAGTGGAGGGTGAAGTGTGTGGGGACAGGAGAGGGCTCTTCCAGTGATGTGTGTGTCCACACAGGAGCCTCCTAAGCCTGAGCAGGATCTGGTGGTCTTAGTTCTTGGAGCGAAGGACCTGCTCATGGGTGGACACCACTTTGCCATCGTGCACATCCATGACCTTGGTGCGGATCTGGCGGCTGGAGGAGGTCACTGGGGAAGACAGGAAGGAAGGCATTAGCAGAGGTGGACAGGTGATGGAGTGCTGAGTAGTGAGCTGTCTCCTGCTGCCACCACCAACAGCAGAGTTCCCTGTGGTCATGTACAGTCTGTGTCCTCAGACTGGAGCTTCCTAGAAACTCAGACCCAACTAGTGTTGTCCAACTAGACCCCAAGGGACTACAGGAACCATGCAAGGTGCTGTCCTTGGTGCTGATCTCCATCACTATAGGGTTTAGCCAGGCACCCATTGGAAATACAAGATGAGGGTCACCGCCCCCAGCCCTAAGGAGGGTTAGGGAATGGTTCCTTCTACCTGAAGAGGCTCATACAAGGATTTTGGGTGAAAACACTTAGCTCAATCGCCTAGAAGGTCCTAATCTAGGCCCTAGACTGAGAGACCTAGGGGTGGCCCCACGCCCAGGTTTGCTGAGGAGGAAAGTCTTACCGTCTCTGGATGACTGAGAGCCAGAGGAGAACTGGGAGGATGAGGAGAACTGGGCAGAGGAGAGACTGCAAAGACAGAAGAGGGCAAGACCATTAGACATATGGGGGGGGCAGTAAGTGAAGAGAAAAGGCACAGCCCAAGGAGGGGGCCACTCACTGGGCATCCTCTCCCTCCAGCAGGCGGCGGTAGGTGGCGATCTCCTGCTCCAGCCGTGTCTTCACATCCAGCAGGATCTTGTACTCCTGGTTCTGCTGCTCCATCTCACAGCGCAGCTGAGCCAGCTGTTCCTCCACGCTGCTGATCATCTCTTGGATCTGGGCCAGCTGCATGCAGTAGCGGCCCTTGGTCTCCTCCAGGTTGTTCTCCAGGGATGCTTTCTGTGAAGGAGAGAAAGAGTTTAAGGGATCACTGAGGATGGCCATCTCCCTTCTGTTAGTCCTGGACTCAGCCCTGGGCATAGCAGCATCCCTACCATGCTCAGCTGGGACTGCAGCTCAATCTCCAGGTTCTGCATGGTGCGCCGGAGCTCAGAGATCTCGCTCTTGCCGCTCTGCACCAGCTCGCTGTTGGTGGCCACCTCACGGTTCAGCTCCTCTGTCTGTGGAAAAGAGAACACCATTCACAGCAGAAATTTCTAGAAGGCAGGTGGTCTGGGTCTCTTCCTCTCCAAATGACACCCACCTTGGTGAAGAACCAGTCCTCAGCATCCTTGCGATTCTTCTCTGCCATCTTCTCGTACTGGTCACGCATCTCATTCAGGATGCGGCTCAGGTCCACACCAGGTGCTGCGTCCATCTCCACATTGACATCTCCACCAACCTGGCCTCTCATAGAGGCCATCTCCTGCACAGTCAGAGAAAAGTCCATTGTCGGGAGCCTCATCATGATAGCCAGCTGGGTTTTCTAGTGAGAGCCGATCCTGATCCAAAGATGACCTGGCCACCATCTCCATTCCCTCACTTCTCTCCAGCCATCCTTTTAAAGTGGCTTTTCCATTTAGCTCTCACCTCCTCATGGTTCTTCTTCAGATAGGCCAGCTCCTCTTTGAGACTCTCAATCTGCATCTCCAGGTCGGCTCTGGACAGGGTCAGCTCATCCAGCACCCTGCGCAGGCCGTTAATGTCGGCCTCCACGCTCATGCGCAGGTTCAGCTCCGTCTCATACCTGGAATGATCCAAGAGAAAAGGAATGAGATACCCATCCCAGCCACACTAAAAGCTTTGTTCTCTGCTGTTGTAGCTTCTTCCCAGAGCTGGCCCCCAGGCAGTGGTTTGGAGAGTCAGTGTTAGACACAGTGCCCATTGATTATTTAGGTCTAAACATTCCTGGGATCCAGGGAGTAAGGCATTTCCCTGGGAGAAGGGAACTTCAAGCTGCCCAATAAGACTTAATACTTCCAAATATGACAACCCACTGCATTCAGGAGCAGATGGGGAAGTTGGGAGGACCTCTCCCTAAAGCCTTGGTTCTCACACCTGGCTGTGGATCAGAATCACCCAGGTAATCTGTTATAAATAACTGAACCAACCTGCAAGGGTGGAGCCCAAGAGTCTTGTATTTTTACAAGCACTCTAAAAGGTTTTCCTGGCACTAGTCAGCTCTGGTTAGAAAACACTGATTCAGAATACTCCACCCTAAGGAGTGAGGATGTTCTGAGCCACCACCACACACTCACTTGGTGCGGAAGTCATCTGCAGCCAGACGGGCATTGTCAATCTGCAGGAGGACATTGGCATTGTCCACAGTGGCTGTGAGGATCTGCAGAATGGAAAAGGCATGGGTTGTTTAGCAAACAAACAGCAGTAGGCAGGCATCACTGCAGCCTGCGCTGGCCTTTACCCTCCTGCTCTTGAGTCCTGTTCTTCCTCCACAAGCCTTCGTTCACCACAGCAGCCTGAGAGACAACCCCCAAGCAGTCAGCTTTGACCCAGGACTTCCGAGCCTGGTCAACAGAAGAGGTAGGAAGACGTCTGGCCCTAGAATCAAAAGCCCGAGAGCTCAGCTCCCAATATTACCACTTATTTGCTGCAAAACCTAAGATGGCTCTCAGGGTTTCAAGTTCCCCTAAAGCTCCCTAGACACCCTTCATGCTCTGGATCTTCCTCTCCTGTTGCAAGCCAGCCCAGGCAGCCCTGGGCAGACAGACTCATTGCTTTCTAAGCCCTCAGGGCATGAGACCTCAGATGGGACTTTCCCAAAAGACAAGACCCAGCCTGCCCAGGGGATTAGAAAAGATGAAGCAGGGAAGGAAAAGAAGACAGACAGATTTCTGAACCTGGCTAGAGTTTCTGCCCAGGACTGTTTAATTTCCATAATCTATGTGAGGCATCAGAGCCAAGCAGATTTAGCAGGAGGGTCCTTGGGGTAACAGAGGAATAGGAAGAAGGATGCTGGAAACACAAACCCAGCAGCTCCTTCTGGTACAGGGTACAGATGTGTACCACAAATGGTTGTGGCTGTGGGTTTACTATGCCTGCCTGTAGGGAGAGGCTGGTTGGTGCCAAGGCTTATGGGCGGTGGCGGCCTCAGCCCAGACTAACAAGCTAATGAGCGGTTTGAATGTCTAGCCCAGTCCCGTTACAGCATCGCTCCGCCTCTCCATTGGAGGTCAGGTAGTTACCACCTGTACTGGATAGAAGTGGACCACCAGGCCTAGTCTCAGCTCTGCCCTTCCTCTGCCATGTGGTCCCTACCAGATCACAGCACCTCTCAAAACTTCAATTTCTCCCTCTGCAATATGTTACAGGTAGGAATCATTGGTCTCACATGGGCTAAAGGACTGGCACTCAGAAAAGCATGATAAAGGCCTGAAAAGAATATCATCTTCTCACTGACAGCCCTGTTGGGGGTATTCAGGACCTCAAAGAAAAGGATAAGGGTTAGAGGCTGTCCTATGTAGGAATCTAAAGTGGCTGAGGCATCTCATTCCCAGGCAGAGAAAAGGAGCTGGAACGGCAGGTCCTGTTCTGCTGCCCAGTCAGCTCACCTTGCTCCTCAGTTCCTCGATGGTCTTGAAGTAGGGGCTGTAGTCCTTGATCTCAGCGGGCCTCTGCTTCTGGTACCAGTCACGAATCTTGACCTCCAGGTCAGCATTGGCCTCCTCCAGAGCACGCACCTTGTCCAGGTAGCTGGCCAGTCGGTCATTGAGGTTCTGCATGGTCACTTTTTCACTGCCCACCAGGAGCCCATCACCACCAAAGCCACCACCAAAGCCACTGCCGAAGCCAGCACCACCAAATCCTCCTCCAAAACCAGCACCTCCAAAACCACTACCGAGACCCCCACCAAAGCTACTGCTGCTGCTGCTGAAGCCACCGCCATAGCCACCCCCGATTCCACAGGCTCCCCCAGAGGAGAAGCGGGAGGAGGTGACCGACAGGCCTCCGTAGGCACTGGGGGCCCGGCAGGATCCTCCCGTCAGGACAGAGGAGATGCGGCTGGAGCCACCACCGATGCCACAGGAGCCCTTCATGGAGCTAGAGGAGGAGAACTGGCGGCTGCAGGTGGTCATGTTGCCTAGGGAGGTGAGCGAGTGAGCGAGTCAGCAGAGAGAAGACAGAGCTGCTCAGGTAAGTTGAAAGAGGATGATAGTGCTTTATACTCCTGAGTAGGGGGCGGGCCTGGCATTTTCCATTCTCCTTGGCTTTCATCACCCACAGGCCAGTGCCAACTCCCAGTTAGATCCCTCCTCTCCTCCGCCTCATCATGTCTGTCATATTTTACTGGAAACTCATTGTTTGAGGTGTTTTGGGCTTTCTCCTCCCGCCAGGCATGAATCATCTGGGGAGGGGTGGGCCTTCAGGCTATACTTTCCCATGAGGCCCTGGGAGTCACAGCCCTTAGGATCCCGCACTCTGGGCTCGGCAAAGATGACAGGGTAGAGACTTACTCCACCATGAACCTGGTGACCTGTTAGCTCCCATTTGATGGGGGAACACTTTACTCCGTGTAGAGGAAGCCCACCACAGCAGGAAACTGACATTTGGTTGGAGGCACGCTAGTATCGCCACCTTCAGCACTACTTGCTAAGGACTGGCCGTGCTAAGGAGCCTGTAACATCTTCAGCCAGTTGGATGGCTCAGACTCCAGGCAACTCTCTCCAGCCCTGGGCACAAACCCTGATAGTCACCACACACCTGTGCACAGACCTAACAGTGTCAGCTTTTCAGTCACCAAGGACAGAGCCTCACGGGCAGAGCCAAAGACGTTGGGTAAGAGAAGAGAATCAGGTACGACCCAAGACTCAACACTTGTCAGAGCCTCAGTTTGCTGCTCTGAAAAGTGGGTGTAAAGAACTCAACTGTGCCTACTGTAGGCACCTCAGAGGATCCAAAGGGACAATGATCTTGAAGGATTTTGTCAATGGTGTGTGGCATAAAGTCTGACTAAGAGGCTTGGAGCTCATCTTGGCCCCAAAGCGAAGTCAGGCCACATCTCTGGGACAGGCCTAGAGGAATTAATTTTTCTTCCATCCCCAGGTGTAGTCTCAGACACCAGGGCAGCTAAGGTGGGAGGCAGGGGGCTGGATTAGGCACCCTTGTTTGATCCCCTGTGGAACTCACCCAAGAGATGTGTCAGGGAGGAATGTAGGCACCTGGGAGTAGAGCAGACCTGTGCCAAGGGTGTCGACAGAGTGGACATGAGGGTTCCTCCTTCCTGAGTCCCCGAGGGCCTGGGGATAACTCCAGGAGTCCAGTATACCAAGACCTCAGCTGCCCTTCCTCTCCCTAACAACCTCCTGAAACAACCCCTTCTGGTCCCCACCACCCTCCTGCCAGCCCCTCAGCCCCATGGACCCTAGAAGGCATGTTGGGAGGAATGCGGTCATGTCTGGGGCTGCCTGACACGTCCCATCTCCTCAGACAGGCCCCAACAGCCCCCACTGGAGGCTCCTGTGATCCTCCTAGGATCAACTGCTCCCAGAAGGGAAGTGGCACCTCCGACGCCCAGCCCCACCAGGCCTGAGTGCCACTGAAGCAGAAGCCTACCCCCTCCTCCCAACAGGGCTTAGGAATTCAGATGACAATGCTGAGACAGACTCTTGAGGTTGAGGGCTCCCCAAATCTGCCTCTCTCAGGACTGGTAAGGATGTGAGTAAGCCAGGGCCCCACCCTGATCCACCCACCCCTGACAGACACTCCTAATCTCCTTCCAGAGCATGGTCTCCTCCTCCCTGGCCCAGTCCTGCAATTTCCCCGGTGGAAGGCAACAGGCCTCGGGGATTTGGGGCTGAGGGATAGATACTTTTGTTGGACGATGTGTTGGAGTTGGCTGGGGTAGGAAGTGGAAGTGTCCTCCCTGGAGAAAAACGCAGTGTCCAGAAAGCTCCAGAAACAGGAGTAGGGTACAGAGTCCAATCCCAGCTTCCTTGGTGATATAACACCCTGTTCCCCACTTCTTCAAGGAATGAGAAAAGAACCCACGGAGCTTAGGACCAAGAAAAGGCCAGCTTTTCTCCATCAAGTTCAGCGGAATTCCAAGGAGGCTCCTCCTGATGCCCCTCCTCCTTCCTTCCCATGCTCTTCACCCTGTTCTTCCTCCTCCTCCTTCTAGCTACCATCTCCTCTATCTGCTCCTCCTCCTGAGCCCTGCTCTTCTTCTTCCTCATCATCCCCCTTCTTCTGCTCCTCCCCCAGGTTCTTCTCTTTCCCAAATCCTCCTCCCCTTCCCCCAGTTCCTCCCCCTTTGCCTGGCCCTCCACCTCCTCTAAGGAGTACTCAAAAGATAAAGATGATAGGAAACAAATGCCAGATAAGCACACCCTCACTTTGCCAGCCCTCCCCACCCTGGACTCTGGGCCCCCAAATGGAATACACTGAGGCCAACAGACACAGATTCTGTGGCCAAGGAGCTACCAAGAGCTCAACAGAGCTGTGGGGAACAGAGGCAAGACAGGGCACTCCCATCCCCATGGTGCCGATGGCATTTTGGGGAGAAGCAACCTCTGAGGCATCAAGAGTTAATGATTAGAGCGGGTATCTGATCGGTGGGTCTGTCTGCTGGGATTTGGTGTGCCCACCTTCTTTAAGCAGGCTCGGTGTGGGCACCATATCTGTCCCTCCCTCCAGCCTGCCCATGAAGGGGGAGTAAAGGAGGGGCCTGGACAGTGAGTGCTCTGTGGTTAGTGAGTCTCTTGCACCTCCCTGTGGTGGAGAGACCCATGCCAACCCAAACAGGTGAAGGGGCAAGGCCAGGCAACCCCCACACAGCCCCATTGTCTGCTGAGTCCTGGGCAGGAGCTAGGGGGTGGCATCCTTAGGAAGGAGGAGCCAGGGCTGAGGAGGGAGGCACAAGCCCTGCCCTCGAAGCCCATAGTCTATTGAGATAGACTGTCCCTGTCTTTGGAAGCCCTTGGCCTGAAAGAGAAAAAAAGGACCAGCCTTCAAAGTTACTTAAGATAAGAAAAGCTTAAGAAAAACAAACACCATCTGCATGCTTTCCAGGGCCGCACATTCCAAATCACTATAGACTCAGTTGTTTCTGGAATCCAGATGCTTCCAGATAAGATGGCAGGATACCTTCCCTCTGGACTCGAGGGGAGGATCCTTCCTTGCCTTGGCCAGTTCTCTCTCCATCTCCCCACAGCTTTTGTGTGTGTGTGTGTGTGTGTGTGTGTGTGTGCGTGCGTGTGCGTTTGTTTGTTTGTTTGTTTGTTTGTTTGTTTGTTTGTTTGTTTGTTTTACGATTGCACTTGCTGGCTCTAGTGTCCCCCAAGCCAGCGTGCTCTCACCTTGGTCCTCACCTTAATCTATCAGCAGAGGCCCTACTTGCAATAGTGTTGACTGTGGGAAGACAGTCCACTGTGTAACAGACCCGGTGCTGATACCCACACTGCAAAGGTGCTAATGAAAACCTGGAGGAGATGATTGTGATAAGAGGTAGGTGGAGCCAATGTGGAAGTTTCTGGAGGAAGCAGCTTTGAGCTCTGCATATTAGGGTGTTGGGGAGCATGGCAGCAAGGAGATGCACACTTCTCAGTTTTGGTTCAGTGCTCACCCCATTTCTTTAACTCCTTCACAAACACAGAGCTGCTCAGGAATAGAAAGCACTTTTTATTTTTAATTTTGTTTTGGTTTTTGGAGACAGGGTCTCCCTATGTAGCCCAGACAGCCCTCAGATTTGTAATTTTCCTGCCTCTACGTCCCACCTCTCAGTGCTGGGATCACAATCCTGTGCCACCAAGCCTGGTTATTTTCAATTTTTTTAATTTTAAAATAATTTTGGACTCCCAGAAAAAGCTACAAAAAGAAAACATTGGTCAGGCATTGTGTTGCATGCCTGTAATTCCAGCATTTGGGAGGTAGGGACAGGAGAATTAGGAGTTCAAGATCATTCTCGGCTACATAATGAGTTTGAGGCTAGCTTAGGCTACATGAGATCCTGTCTCTCAAGAAATAATAATTAAAACCAAATGTAAAATTGCAAAAACAGAATTTATCTGTACCCTTCACCCAGCTTTCTTTAATGTGAACATATTACATAAGTATGTACAGTTTTCAAAAACAAGTTAACATTGACACAAATTATGTCATTAGTTAACCACAGACTTTAAAGAAATCCTGCCAGTTTTCCCAAGAATGTTCCCTTTCTGCTACAGAATCCAGTTGCAGACCCCACACTGCGTTCCCTTGGTGTCCTCTGAGCCTCCTCAGGTCCATAGCCGCTTCCCAGTCTTCCTGGGCTTCTGCCAACCTGGGCACTTTTGAACAGTATTGATTGACTATCTGGTAGAATAGTTCTATTTGGATTTTCCTGTTTTCTCATGACCAGACTGAGGTCATGTATTTGCCAAGAAACCCACACAAGTTATGTTTCTTTCTCAAGCATATCATTGGGTCAGAGAGGACAGGTACGTTCTCGCGACTTGTAGCTAACATTGACCTCATATATGGGCCAAGATGGTGTCTATTGGAATTCTCTACCTTAAAGTTTCTTTGTTGCCCTAATGAGTGTTTTGAGAAAGCGACCTAGAGGGTACACACGAGTCTTATTTCTCCTTCAGCTTTAATACTCTAATGCATGCCTCTATCAATGCAGGGAAAGAAAGCTTATCATCCTCTGGATTCAAGACCTGATTTGTTCTGGACTCCCTGAGGGGCTGTGGCTTCAAGAAAGGCTATAGTGGTCCATGCCTAGAAAAAGACTCCCTCCTCCACCACTCAAGTCAAACCACATGTCCTAGAGCCCTCTGCTGTCCAGTCTGGGACATTCCCATGCGATCTTTGCTTGGCAAGATACATGTTCCCCTCTGCTGTTGCAGGGGAGTATTGGAGCTGCTGTCATTTAGGGTTTTGTTTGTTCGCTTCCTTCCTTCCTTCCTTCCTTCCTTCCTTCCTTCCTTCCTTCCTCCCTCCTTCCTTCCTTCCTTCCTTCCTTCCTTCCTTCCTTGAGACTGGGTCTAACTATGTAACCCAGGCTGGCCTTGAATCACAGTGACCCTCCTGCCTCAGCCTCCCTCTAGTCCTGGAATTATAGGCATGCCACTAAGCCTGGCCCAAGCATTTCCCTGATTCTTGTTTTCTAGAAAATTTTCTTGGCCCCCGTCAGTCCTTTGGGAAAGAAATAGACGGCAGGGTCCTCCATAAGCCACAGGCAGGCAATATAATCCC